TAATTTAATTTAATTTTTATTATAAAATAATTTTTTGTCTCTTTTTATGTATTTTTCATTACAAACTCCATAAAAAATGTAATTTGAGTAATAAAATTATTAAAATATTATTAATAACTATACAAGAGAGTTTTATTAAAAGAGTAATGATAGACAAGATAAAATCAATAATATAACATAAGTTATATCATTAAATTAGTATATAATATTATGAATTTAAAAAAATACGAAAATTAATTATTAAATAATATAAAATTTACTTTTTAATATTTTAAATAATGTGATATAAATTATATCATTAATCTTAAATTTTAACTCTAAATTTTGATCACATTTATCATTATTCTTATTATTGTCTCTAAAATCTCCCTTTTCGACTGCATGGCAGATAAGACGGTAAAAACATACCACTTACTTTACTCAAAGTGAGAAAGAGGAATTCCTGGTGATCCTCACTATTTACAAGCGTGAAACTTAGTTACGAGTCAATGGAAGAGCACCGGTTAAATAAATTATGAGATATGCTCTGATCAGACAATTGTTGCAAAAACTAGAGTGCATTCCTACATAAAGGTCCATAAATAATTACCTTGGAAGAATACCAGGGTCTTCCCACAACTTAGGTCAAAATGTTAGTTTGTTGATCGAAATAAAAGAGAAAAATAAAGGAAAAGAGAAAAAAGAGAGTACATGGCAAGAAAACTAAATTACAAAAAAAAAGCGTGATGTTGCTGTGAAAGCATGAAAACATAGAAAATGAAATAAAAACTGAAGTATAAAACTAAACTTAAAAGAAACCAGGAATATGAATTTTGGGCAAAAATGTAATAAATTGAATTGCAAAAAACTAAATACATCAAGTGAAAATGTTCACAACAAAATAACAAAAACTAGAGGTAAAACTAATGGCAGCTAGAGCTAAAGAATTAACTAGGAAAGTTGTTTAAGAAAGTTGAATCTAAACTAAGACATTGCTTGTAAAACTAAAATGGAGATAACGCTTGGCTAATCGTGTGAGAGGCTGATCTTCTTTTTTTCGTTTCTTCTCTGCATACTTATAGCAATAAACACCCCTTAGCAGCATGCTTGGAGATATATGGCAACAATCTTGAAAAACCAATGGCAACGTGATATTTGAAACAAATTGATTAATTTGTTGATGCTGTTCATTATCCTCCTAGAAGTTCGCAATAAGTAAACAACTTCATTGCAGTTGTGGAAATAACTACTGACCCTTATATAGAGAGATTTACATTGATAAAATACATGCCAACATGAATAACACGTGGCACCATTCTATTTTTTTACAAAAATAGGTGTAAACACTTATTAAAAATATTTTAATAGTTTTAATACTGGTGCATTTTGCATTGAAAATATACTTTCCTTTCATTTTTTTATTTGTGAATTTAATTTTTTTGGTTGAATTTATATTCTATTTAGTCAGATAATTTTAAATAACTAATATTTGATGGTTAGTATTTATTAGTATTTAAATTTAAACATTATCAACTCTTAAAATTGTTTACAATAGTCAAACCAAACAATCTCTTATCTTTTACAATTATTTAAAAAAAATTTTAAATTGTTTTTCTTTATAAATTTCTGGTTAAGTGGATACATACAAAATAAATGAGAGAAAATGATAGTTTTCCAGTGAAATTTAGTAAATAAATTATCTTTGATTTAACTAGAAGAACGAGGGTCTGTTCAAATATTTGATTTCACAACTTTTTTGTCATGCACTATTAAAATATTAATTCATTTTAATTAAAGTTATCTTGATTAATATTTTATATATTAAAATAATTATATAAAATAAATGTAAAAAAAAGGAATGTTTTTTACGTGCATTTAAGAACATTAGTCCAAGATAGGAAAAGATAACACATTTAAGAATGAAAAACTACATTAAGAATGTTCCTTAACGAATCAGGGTACATTAAAATTCCATGGCTGGTTTGTAGTTTAAAATACAAAATGGAAAATTTGGTTGGTTTATAGTTTAAAATAGAAAGATGGAAAACATTTTCAACATCTCAGAAGACTGTTCTCTGTACTTCCCTCTCTGCTTGCATTTCTTGTTTCTCCTACATTTTTTTTCCCCAATGGCAAGTCAGCCAGAAGCAATGGAAAATGTCCTAATCTCAGGAATAAAAGTTGAATATCTTCTCTCACTACCCTTAAAATGTGGGTACTAATCAGCTTCCTGCATTGTTCTTCTCTCCATAAGGTTCAATGTCGGCTTCCTTTCCAAATCCAAGTTCTGACATATCTTGCTTTGCCATCAAATTCCTGTAGGTACCAACAAGTGACCATTAGAACAGAACGACAATGTCATTTTCCATTAAAAACACCATTAAGAAAGAAATGGTAACTTGAAAGAACAATATTATTTTCAACAATTTCAGAGTTCAAATCTTAGTCAAAAATCCATTGAAGAAAAAAGAAAATACTAAGTTGACAGATAGAATAATAGCATTATTTTAAAATAACCAAGAGCTATAATTGGTCTCTACATGGCTCATCAAAATTTCCTGTTCCAACTTAATGTCTCTTTATCTCAGCTTAAGAATAGCAACCAAAGCAGCCATAGGCAGATCTGGGGATCTATGAGCCATAATCCATTTTCGGCATCTTCACTGATAATTAATAAATTAAGAAATAAAAGAAATCCATTTTCAGCTTCTCATTTCATACCAACAGAAACGCTGTCACTTGACTAGGCAAGCATTTAAATAGAGCACCTTCATCTCAGAATCAGCCTGTTCCTGAGATATTATCTTAATAAATTTGTACATATTCCTCTCCAATAAGAGACTTTGGCAGAGCAAGTACATTCTTCAGTAAAGACTACAAATCTGCCTTCAACCATACAAATATACTATTCCATCCACAACCCCGTCTATATATCCATCACATCTAATACCTTTCCTAATATTACAATTTAAAAACACAAAGCAAAATTAGTCTCACCAAACTTTTTCCAAGCAATAAGCATAAAAAAATACAAAGACACATGGGAATAAGCACTCACTTTGCCATTCGACATTTCAAGTACTTTTTTGATAAGTGTCTACATTTTTCAGATTTGTTTCCAGAAGATTTGAGACACAGGAGATATTCTTTCTTCTCCTGTAAAAAGGCAAATGTACAAACCAAAAGCAATATAAATGAAGGATATAACAGCAAAAAGAATCAGAAGGGAAGGTTTACTCGACTGCACAGACGGAAAATTTTAGAATCAATTTTCTTATAACTTAAACCAACGTTACCACATCACACTCATGCATATGATCCAAAGGGAAGACTCCTTTCTCTGGTGGCACAGGTCTTAGTCCTCTATTCCCACCAAATGCACCACCTGCCAGAAATTACTGAATTTTTGAAAATAAATAATACATGTATAATAGCACATGTGAAGTATGTTTTTTTTATTTATTTCCAACATAACAAATTTAAGAAGTATGTTTTATTTGTTTATCTCCAACATAACAAATTTAAGAAGTACAAAACAGAATGGTACCCTTAAATTTTATCAGAACTGAAAGAAGAATGATGCACAACCAAAAAAAAAAAAAAATGAAGATAAATTTGATGATCACCAAGAATATGATATGAATCTTCACATTCTCGAGGTACTAATGTATTCAAAGAAGGCAAGAAATTTGAGTTTTTCTTTTTTACTCCAAAACACTCAATCAAAAGGCCTAATTTGCTGCAATTCCTCCTGTATTCTCATTATACAAACTGTAAACAATTTACACTAACAAGCACCTGTCAGCAGGTGAAGCTTTTTCCCGTCACTCTTGAGGCTGATAATTTGGATGTAATTATCAAATTTCATTTTTAATCTAGACTGGTATAAACCCAAGAACGATTCAATCCCTCTCCACCCTATTTGCCATTTGAGAACAATTCAAGGTGAATGAGCAACTTCTAAAATGACAAAGTATTTAAGACAATTATCAACTGGAACAGGAATCCAATCCCACATCCCTCACAACAATAAATTCTTAGATAATAGATAAGGTTTAAAACCCTAATTCTCTTTTCATTACGATCAAATAAGATCCCCAAGAACAGTTTAACATTCCAACTAAAATCATTAAAAACCACCAGCCTCTAAGCCACACTCTTATCCTTAATTTCCTTCCAGTATGCTACAATCTTTGATTATTTTTCAGCATTCTAAACGTTGAACGGTAATCATTACTTTCACTTCTAATCAACTAAATCCCAATTCCAATTTCCTCTCTTTATAACAACAATCTTACAAAAGATAGGGAGCAAAATATCGGAATTCCAACACAAAACAATCAAAGAAGGATATTTTTGTTATGGAGTATACAACTAATACGAGTAGCATAACCATTTTCATCAATGATACAGAAAACGATATTGATCCTTCCTCGTTCCACTTTACCTGCGCTCATTTGACCGCTAAATCGCTCTCCTCCTCCTCCTCCTCCTCCTCACCGCTCTAGCTCCGTTCCTGGATTGGTCCGCCGTCACTGTTCCGGCGACTGCCACTTGCGCTCAAACGTTTACTCGTCTCAAAAATGGTTCCTCATTTCTTCGTATACAACTTGCAACAAGGGTATCCGGGTCGGCGGTCGGGCCATTCCGTTTTTTCATTTTTCTTTTTCTTTTTTTCGTCACGTGTTCGAAGTAATTGTTACTTTGTTACATTTGGCACATATCTTTTTATACCAGCTTCAATTTAGTCCCTAACATTTTCTTACGGTACCAGAATAACTCCTTAATGTCCTTTTTTTATACTTATAAGTTTTGTTTGACAATACCGTTCATGGTACTTTTCACGTATATTTACAGAATTTTTTATAATTTATATGTTTGGTAAATTATTCATACTTATTTTTTTTAAAAGGAATGCAAAAATTATCTTATTCAAAATTAATAGAATTTTTAAATAATTTAATAGAATTTTCAAATCTTTTCTGTAAATTATATATTAAATTATTAGTTAATTTAATTTTAAATAATAATATGTCTAATTGAGTAATTTTACAATAGATAATTGTTTTAAAATATAATTACTAAATACTAAAATGCTTTTTATGATAGTATAGTACAACACTTTTAACATATATAGTTACAGAACAATACCAAATAGCATTATCAAATTAAACGTAATCTTTACCCACCCCACTCAAATACTTAAACCTCAAACACAAGACATCTTTCTAGAAGGATACCATCACTATACCACTTAGATTGTTAGCAAATTATATAGTGAGTTTTCTTTTTCTTTTTTTAATACTAATAATTAATAAATTGTATAATATTAGATAACTCTCATATCTATTAAATCGCTTGTACATTTTAATATTTGAACTTAAAATTTCCCACTTAGAGTCTCATCTGTATTAAGTTGAGATACCTCTCTGGTAGAGTTTTTATTTAATTAAATAAATAGATTGAGTTTGGGTAAAGGTGGCAAACGGGTAGGTTGGATCAAATTTAGGTTGAGTTTACTTGGATCACAGGTTTGACAAGTTGAGTCATATACAGGTTGCGAGTTTATAAGTATTGACCCTAATCCAACCCTAATGGGTTACAAGTTGACGCATAAGTTGAATTTATTTTTTTTGTACAATTAGTCACATTTTTAATACTAATTTATTAAATTAAATTATAATAACTTAGATATGATTATTTTCTAATAATTTTGCTTTTCTCTATTTGATTTGTTTAAGCAAAATGACTTATTTTTTTGTGGAATATTTTTTGAATTATTCATTTAATATGTTTTTGTTCTCTTTATCGGTAATAATATATAATATACAATACTTGATTTATTAATTTTAAATAAATATAATCAATTTTCATTTGAAAAGTGTTATAAATTGTAATGGCCACTATCATATTAAATTTCTTTTAAATTATATATGTTAGTTATTTTACCTCAAAAAATTATCTTATAAAAATATTTTTAAAAAATTTTAAAAACAAACAGGTCAAACATATTAACCTGTGAACCTGCAAGTTGATCCATGCTTGATCCGTGACTTGTTCAAGTTTACACAAATGGGTCACAAGTCCAATATTATTTGATCCTAATTCACTTTTCATAAATTAAGTTAAAATTAGATTAATGAGACAAGTTAAGATCAAGTTAATGGGTCGGATGTGATTTTACAACCTCTAATTTTGGGCAATTGATCCATTATATCGGCTGCTTGTTTTCAACAACTTTTGACAAGAAAAATGCAATTGCCTTATCTTAAGAAAGAAAAATAAAAATAAAAAGAAAAATAAAAAGACCTTTTGAAAAGAAAGAAGGGAGGACTCTGTAGAGCTAGGTTTGGGCTAGGCCGGATTACTGAACTTGTTTCATGCCTTGCATGTTATGGACCTTTAGTGTGGATTCAAGTGTTAACCCAAAAACGTAAGCTAGGTTCACTACTTATGCCTGCTCTAGTCTGGACTGAGCTCAATTATGTCACCATGGCTCAAAAACCATTCAGCTCACAGATTCTTTCCCTTTGAAAGTCTCTAAAAGTTTGAATTTGAGCCCTTTTTCATGTTTGGTTTTATAAGGGATACATTACAATGTCCAATTCATAACTAATCCTAATCCCCAAATTTAAATCATCAAATTGAATTATAAATGAAGAAAATCTTCAGAAGGTTAGACCTTGAACTTGGAATTATTTTGTTTTGGAACCTTTTCTTTATCCCCAAGACATAAATGTCAAAAAAATTAGTTTCTTGTGGGGGTCTATATTTCGGAAGTAGAGCATTTGACTGCAGATCAGGAGGTTACCGGATCCATAATATTTAATAATTTTCCAAATTTTAGCCTCTAAGGCAAGTATTGCCTTTAATAATCCTTTTATTTATCTCTTGTAGTGAAGGTATGCACGCAGCTCTGTTTTGTCTGCTTTGAATGGAGAAATCTTAACTTTAAAAACATATAAACACCATGAGGACCTTCAATGTGGATTTAACCCAAAAACTTAAAGCTAGGCTCTAAACTTTCGCAAAAATCTTCTTTTGCAAGACTTGATTGCAAAACTTGAAGGAACTGAACTCAAACAAGACAAACAAGACACATGGACTTGGAAGCATGAGAGGCATGTACACTGTGAAGTCAGCTTACAAGTACCTAAATGCAACACTCTAGCATGGGATGGCTATTGACTTCAAAATTTTGTGGAACAATTAGGTGCTGCTTAAAGTAACAACATTTGCATGGAGAGCATTACAAAACCGATTGCCAACAAAAGCAAATTTAGCTAGGAGAGGGCTATTGCAGTTGAGACAAGATT